GTCACTGAATTCAGCAGGGTTCATCGTCATACTTACTTGATATATGATGAAGCAAAGTTCCCCTCATCTTGAAAATTTCATAAATGATGGGACGCTTTTTCTTCAGCATTTGCCTTTTTTGAGTCATTGCTACTAACCTTTTCATCATTGATATGTCAATGCACGATGCAAATTAGCAAAGAGGTATCAGGCCAGTGTGTACAGGGTGAAAACAATTTGGGGTAGGTGTAGTTAGGAGTAAAGATTTACCAGGATGTTGACAAGACTGGAGGGTTTGAGTTATAAGGAGATGGCGGATAGGCTGGGGTCTTTTTCCGTGGAGCATCGGAGGCTGAGGGGTGACATTATCAAGGTTTACAAAATCGCCTTTGCTCAGCATTTGAGCCCTAACCATGTTCGTGCCGCATGCAATGCAAATGAACAAAGAAATGATTGCAAATGAAATATAACTAGAGTTGGCAAACACACACTTTGTAAGTTTGTACTTTCGCCCTTCTGACTGGTACTAATTCTGCCCGGCATTGTTCCAAGCCTTGCATTTCACATCAAAAGAATGGCAAGAGATGGCAAAGAATGCAGCTCTCTAGCAGACAGTGGCAGCACCCAGTCCCTGTTTCATCACTAGGTACCCCTCACCCCCAAGAATCCCCCCCCCACTCTCCTGCTCCACCCTCAACCCCAACAGTCACCACAGAACCATGGAAATTCCAGACACCCACCACCCTCTGTGTAAAAAAGGTTTTCCTTGCATCCCCTCTAATCCTTCTGTCACTTAGCTTGACCTCTGGTTTTTGAAATCTCTGCCAAGGGAAACCCTTTCCCCCTGTCTATTCTATCTCTACCCCTCACAGTTTTGTATACCTCAATCATGTCACTCCCTCAGCCTTCTCAGTTCCAAGGAAAACTACCCCAACCTCTCCGATCTCTCCTGATAGCTCCTATTCTCCAACCCTGGCATCACTGCAGTAAAATCTTCTCTGTACTTCCATGCTTCCATTTCTACCCATCCCCTTCACGTGGAGGCCAATCACTTTACAAAAATACTAATTTTACCTCCACAGGCGAATCTTGGTTCATTTTCCTTCCCATCAACAGATCCATTATTTAAATCATCATCCACTCCTGCACTTACTATCTCCCTAAAACAAATCCTTTATCAGCTTATAATGGTACAGCTGATATAGCTCAGTTGGGCAAGCATTGGATTGAAGGTCTAAAGATCTTTTGTACATTCAGCAGTGCATGCATTTCACTTTCCTGATTGAAAGATGATGGGCCAAATGGCTTCTTTCTGTTGAGACTGTTTGATCAGGACGGCATTGAGGGAGTTTTACATTCAGTTTTCTTTTTAGAAAGGGAGGTCTTTCCTTTGAGTTTAAATGTGTAAAGAGAGCTTTTAGTCTTTATCTAACCCCTGGGCTGTCCCTAACCTGAGAGTGATAGGGAACAGTGTACAGGGACACTTATTTTCTGTTTAAGAGTAAAGAAAGCTTTATTTTCAGTTTACTTTTGGTTTAAAAGACTAGAGGATGATTTATGCTGCATCTAACCCCATGCTGTACCTGCCCGAAGATTGTTTGATAGAGACAGTATAGAAAGAGCTTAACTTTCAGTCTAAATGGGTAGAGGGTGCTTTACTCTGCATCTAAGCCCATGCTGTCCCTGTGCAGGGAATGTTTGATGGAGAAAGTGTCGAGGGACATTTACTTTCCATTTGAAAGAGTAGAGAGAACTTTGATTTCAAAGAGTGTTTTGACCTTTACTCTATGTCTAATCCTGTGCTGTCCCGGCCCTGGACTCTTTAATGGGGACAGTGTTGAGGGAGCTTTATTTTCCATTTACTTTTAACTTAAAGGAGTACAGCACGCTTTACTTTCAGTTTAAAAGAGTAGAGTCAGCATTGTACTGTATCTAACTCTGCTGGACCTGTCCTCGATTGATCTGTGGCCTAAGTCCATTTGCATGCTTTTGGCCCATATCCTTTGCTTATCGGTCTCAAATCTAAACTTAACTGGTCCAGCATCCACTGCCATTTGTGGAAGAGAGCTCCAAACATCTACTACCCTTTGTGTGTAGAAGTGCTTCCTAATATCTCTCCAGAACAGGCTGGTATAATTCTCAGACTATGCCCCTGGTTCTATAATCTCCAATCAGTGGAAATAGTTTACAACAGGACTTGTCTATCAGTCTCCTCACCAGCCATCTTGCTCCATCTTAAGTAAAGTCTGCAACCCGAATGCTTCCCCATCATCCATGTTCCCACCACTATCTTGCCAATGTCGTACAGAACCAGATTTAAGTTTCAATCAGACACCTTCACTGTCTGTTGATATCATCCCTCCTTTCTTCTGCGATCTAATTCCCCTCCACTTTCTCCTGTCCTTGCCCCCAGTTGTCAGTCACTGCTCACTGCACCTCATAACATCAGTGCTTCCACTTAGTCTCCTTCCTCCTATCCAATGATTCCTTTCTTCTGTCTCACTTCTACACAGTCCACTCACTATCCCACTGCCCCACAAAGCACCTTGAGACCTACACATCTACATTAAAGTTCAACTCATTGGCAGGGACAAACCTCCAAGGTCTGCTCTTTTAACTGCTACGTCAGGGGTCTGTGTATTAGGAGAATATAGGAGGACAGAAATGGCTGGAGTCAAGTAAATTTGAAGGCCTTATGTAATCTGTGTTTCAGTGTGAACCAACAGTTGGCAGCGATAGTAAAGGCAAAAACACAAATATAGCCACGACTTCAACAAAAGAAAAACCAGGGTCACTTAGAGAAAGGACACCACTCTGCATCAAATGTAATGTTTATTAATTTCATTTTTATTTTCTTAACATACATCTTAACAGCAAATGCAACAAATCAAGAGACATAAAAACCAAAATAACTGTGGATGCTGTAAATCAGGAACAAAAACAGAAGTTGCTGGAAAAGCTCAGCAGGTCTGGTAGCATCTGTGAAGAAAAAAATCAGAGTTAACGTTTCAGGTCCAGTGACCCTTCCTCAAAACCGAGGAAGGGTCACTGGACCCGAAGCATCAACTCTGATTTTTTTTCTCCAAAGACGATGCCAAATCAAGAGGCATGTTCTACTTTTTAAAATATTTCTCAAACACATACGCTGCAATGTGTCCCACAAGTCAATGGGAAGTCCACAGTGACAACATTCGCATTTTCCAAAGATTTCATCAAAACTGGCACAGCATGGCATGATGGCACTTCTGCAAACATGGTGCAATAGAAATCTGCAGCCACTTCTCCAGATTAGGGGAGAGCTTTAAGGATGTTGCCCCAACAAGTCAAGCTCACAAGTGCAGAATCTGTGTGTGATTTCCGTTCTTTACCTACCTTAAATCCCCACCACTGCAAAAACATTCATTTTTAAAACTGACAATCACGTATACTGGCCATCAAAGTGACAGCCATTATCCACAACAGGTGTTAACATCATTTTCAAAGTCGTTTTTCACAGTGTTTTGAATACTCTGGTATTTTTTTCATGAATGCTTAGACTATGGCACTAGTAATATCAGAATAGCACATTTGAATTTAAGCAGAAACTAGCTGTTTGAAGAAGAAAGGAATGAAAGGATGTATTGACAGAATGGTATGGCACAAGGTGGCAGCAAGCATAAACACTGGCATAGACGTGTTGGACTGAATACTTATTTCTGTTGATATAAGTGGTATGTGTTCTATCTAAGTCTAAGCTTATTTTGTGCAGCAAAACTAGTGGGTTATAAGTGAGGTGGCATGGTGACTCAGTGGTTAGCACTGCTGCCTCACCGCACCAGGGAGCTGAGTCAATCCCAAACCTCAGGTGAATGTCTGTGTCAGGTCTGCATGTTCCCCCTGTATCTGTGCGGGTTTGGTCCAGGTGCTCCTGGTTTCCTCACACAGTCCAGTGCTGCGCAGTTTAGGTGGACTGGTCATGCTCAATTGCTCGTAGTGTGCAAGCTAGGCAGATTAACCATGGAAAACGCAGGGACGGGTCTGGGTGGGATGCTCCCCGGAGGTTTGGTGTGGACTCGATGGGCCAAGCAGCCTGCTTCTACCTTGTAGGAATTCAGTGATAAGCATTTTGTTTCATTTCTCTGAGGATAAAGATGACCATGGTCATCACCATTCTTACAGACCAACACAGATATTACCATTAACAGGAATTATTTCTGGGGACAGGTAGCAAGTATACAGAAAATTTTGAAGAAAATGGGCCAATTATTTTATGTTAGGTCTGGCTGTGGAGACAAAGATCTCCCAATTAGGAGCAGCTCTCACTTGGGCCACAATGGGCAGCAAATCCTAGCTTCTTCTGACATTTTGGTTTTCTAGATACCTGATGTTGGCAACAAAAAAAAAGTGCCTGCTGTAAATGGTGGGAATTGTATTGGGATGAAGAAGATGCTGTATCTTTCCTGTCATTTTTAAAGCAAGCATACATGTAGCTTGACCTCAAGATGTGGCTGAAGATAACTTAGAATCTGAGATCAGAGATATTGCAAAAATAACCTGCGTCTATGCTGGGAGGGAGTGCGAGTCATTGTTAAATATTGTTGCATCCTTCTCAGCGATTATGAAAAGACTTTCGAACGTTTTAAACCACTCCAGAACAATTTCCAATGTCATCAAAGTGTGAGTTTGGATGTTGTTAGCTAACAAACAGCTTGGAAAACAGCAGGAGCCACTGGAGGAAGCTAATGTTGTACATCAGATAGCTTGGGAAGAGAATTTTCTTCTTAAACATTATATTAATCAGTTCAGACGTCCCATTAACCAAACAGGGCAAAAAACATTTGCTGTTGTTTCAAAATGCAATTTAAATTTACTTCATTATTGAAATACTTTAAGTGCAAAAGAATGAGGATTTGAAAAAAAAAGACCAGATACAGTCTGTGTTATCTGCCACATCTAAAATCAGACTCAGAGGCAAGGCTGCCCTGTAAATCTAAAGCAAGCTTTTATATTGGAGCAGAATAAATGTGCCAAAAACAAGGGGATTCAGTTTAACTGTGTTTAATCTAGCATTATTACAAGTCAGGTTCTCAGTCTTTCTCCAGACGCTTCCATTTGAGCATTGTTAAAAACCTGAAATAACAATATAATCTCCATGAAATGAACAAGGTAACATGGCACATTTATCTGATTTGTCCTTTGGTTCAGGAATTGGATTCCAAGGAGACCAGCACAAGACAATAGGAAAAAAACAAGCTCCCTATACATGACATAAAGAGTTGAAGTGGATAGAGACCAGAAGTGAGAGAGCGGAACTGTAGAATTAGTGAAATTAACTCAATGCTCAAACTTCGGCCTCAAGAGAGCTTGTTTTGTGGGACCATCAGAATTAAAAGTGTAAAAGTTGGAAAGAACACAAAAATGCTAGGTGAAGAAATGTTTACTACAACTTTTCTTTTGATAACATTTTGGGTGTCTGCTTAAATCAGATGATCAAGTAGAAAAATAAGCTCAAATAAACTATTACGAAAAGTAATTATATTCAATACACGCTTCATTTAAACCCAGTGGTCCACTGTCACCCGTTACTGGCTGTTAATAAAATCTGGGTGTTTTAACTAAGCGAGAGAGGCTTTTTTAAATCCCACATGGTCCTCCCCAATAAATTCTACACAATCCTAAATCATATTTTGCTCACACTAGAATAGTCTGGTTTGCTGATAATATTTGATGCGATGAAATTGGAGTTTAAGATTCTTGTTTTGCAAGGGCTTCAGCTTCCTGAAAAGGCAAAGAAAATGAATTAATGTTGTTTAATATAAAATAAGAACATCCCACACCAAGACTTTTCAGTTTTTTGGTCTTCTTGAGCACAAAAGCTGGGAACAACCTGGACCAATTATAAAGTTTAAATCAAGGCTGTGTTTATGCCAGGTGGAGCACTGCATACACACACACATCACAGCACTGCTTTTGAACTCAAACCTTTGGCAAACTATGAACTGGCTCAAAGATAGAAGACAGAGGGTGATGGTGGAGTGTTGCTTCTCAGGCTGGAGGCCTGTGACCAGTGGTATGCTGCAAGGATCGGAGATGGATCTGCTGCTTTTTGTCATTTACGTAAATGATTTGAATGTGAACATAGGAGGTATGGTTAGTATGTGTGCAGATGACACCCAAATTAGAGATGTAGTGGACAGCGAAGAAGGTTACTTCCAAGTACAACAGGATCTTGATCAGATGTGCCAATAGGCTGAGGAGTGGCAGATAGAGTTTAATTTAGATAAATATGAAGTGCTGCGTTTTGGAAAGGCAAATCAGGGCAGGACTTATACACTTAATGGTAAGGTCCTCGGGAGTGTTGCTGAACAAAGAGTGCAGGTTCATAGTTCCTTGAAAGTGGAGTCGCAGGTAGGCAGGATACTGAAGAAGGTGTTTGGTATGCTTGCCTTTATTGATCAGTGCATTGAGTATAGGAGTTGGGAGGTCATGTTGTGGCTGTACAAGACCCTGGTTAGGCCACTTTTGGAATACTGCACACAATTCTGGTCTCCCTGCTATAGGGAAGAATGTTGTGAAAACTGAAAGAGTTCAGAAAAGATTTGCAAGGATGTTGGCAGGGGTTGGAGGGCTTAAGCAACAGGGAGAGGCTAAATAGGCTGGGTCTATTTTCCCTGGAGCGTTGCAGGCTGAGGGGTGACCATACGGAGGTTTATAAAATCATGAGGGTCATGGATAGGGTAAATAGACAAGGTCTTTACCCTGGGGTGAGGGAGTCAAAACTAGACGGCATACATTTAAGGTGAGAGGGGAAAGATTTAAAAGGGACGTAAGGGGCAACTTTTTCACACAAGAGGGTGGTGCACGTATGGAATGAGCTGCCAGAGGAAGTGGTGGGAGGCTGGTACAATTACAACATTTAAAAGGCATCTGGATGGGTATATGAATAGGAAGAATTTGGAGGGACATGGGCCAAACACTGGCAAATGGGACTAGATTAGGATATCTGATTGGCATGGATGAGTTGGACCAAAGGGTCTGTTTCTGTACTGTACATCTCTGTGACTCTATGAATGTAAGTAAGGTTATCAGGGCCTGAGGAACACAATTAAAATTGGAGTAAAAGTAACATTTTTGATTTCCTGTTGCCACGCACCTTAAAAACAATGTTTTTTTTTTCTGCAGCATTTCACATGGGCAGTTGGTGATAGCAAACCCTTACCTGTTGTAAGCAGTAGTTGTTAAGAAGTGACTGTTGTAGCCACTACCTCTGTCTGTTGTCACTTTACATTAGACAGTGTACAGAATGTGTGTTTAAACACAGCCCTTACACTAATGGTGTAACATTATAGATACAACATGCAGATGGATAATAGGACCTGTAACTAATGGTACATACTTCCTGCACTGGAAACACACACTTCATTTTATCAATGCTTCCAATGATTTGCATATATCCCAAGTTGCAGATGTGTTAGAATTGTGTGACTTATAGGAGTTGGGAAGACATGTTGAGGTTGTACAGGACATTGATGAGGCCTGTACATGAATAGGAAAGATTTGGAGGAATATGGGCCAGCAGCAAGCAGGAGAGATTAGTTTAGTTTGGGATTATGGTTGACATGGGCTGGTTGCACTGAAGGGTCTGTTTCTATGCTGTACGACTCTATGACTCAGGAGGAGGCCACATAGCTACTCATGTATTTTTGATCTCTCTGAAAGATTCCAATCTACTGCTTAGGCCTTTAATGCTTCTTTTTCAAGAGCATAGGTATATCCAATGTTGAAAGTTATTGTTGCTTCTGCTTCCACACACTTTTCTGTCAATGTATTCCAGGTCATAACACTGCATTAGAAAAAATTCCCTCTTTGGTCAGTTAAAATGTTTTGTTCTCTGGTTATTGGCTCTAACGCCACAGGTAACAGTTTCTCCCAATCTACGACATCGAGCCCCTTCATCATTTTAAACTGCTCCAATAAACTTTCCCTTAATTTTTTTTACTCCAAGATGAACAGTTCAATTCATCTAATCTCGTCAAATAACCGAAGCCCGTAATATGACTGGCATTATTTCCTTCACACATCAGGCTGAATTTTACTTTCTTTTTATTTGGCTAAATGTGTCTATCTCGGATCATTCAAATTTTTTTGGAGGATTTTTTTTTGTTTGCCATGTGGTTAAGTGAGATTTGTCGCTGTATCTTGCCGAACTCACATCATTAACAATCCACCCTGTCCCCACGGCAACTGTTACATCTGATTCCAGCCCCAACGTATCACGTGACATTCCCAGAACAACTCACCATCCAAGGGAGATCCACTAAAAGACTGGAATCCTTTGTGCTTGAGCTATCGTTCCAAAACTGCCTGGCATGGTGCTCGACATTTGCCCTGGGCATTGCGAAGAAGAAGTAGTCATTGCCCCTGTTTGTGGGCAAAGAACTGGAGGTCCTGCTGGATGAGGTGGTACGTACACACATGCCTCGTCACTCCAGCAGTGGAGGTCACGACACTGGCCTGTTTAAGGCTGCCACCTGGATCAGTGCAGTCTCAGCATCTGGAAGAAAGCCCAGTGCTTTAGGAAGGAGGTCAATGACCTTCTCCACTTCACCAGGGTGAAAAAACACCACCATCTTCTCTCCAATACCTCACAGTCGCTCAATCTCTGCTACTGCACCCACCTCCCACCAAGTCTCATGCTTGACCCCCCTCTCACTATTGCCTGCAACATTTTTCCTCACTTCCCCACCCCCTCACCAAACCCCAATGCCATTAACTCCACATGCCCTTCACGCTGCCGACTCACCCGCTCGGAACAACACCCTACCCACGCCAACAGCCAGAGATCTGGCGCCTACTTTCATCTTCATTAATACCTGCCTGTCTCTCATTCCAGGAGCAAAGCAACTTAGACGGCAGAAAGACTCAAGCTGGATGATGTTCTGCCTGACATTCACCTCCTCAAGGACAGCATCCTGACTCAGCTCGCCCTGAACAGCTGACCATTTTTAAGCCCCTGGACTGGTATCAAAGGCTGGCCCCTGACTCATAATGCTGGGAAGGCTATCCACCTTGGTTTGAATGAGGCTGACCATCAACCATCACAAGCACAAAAAGACATTGCGAGGCAGTGGTGCTGTGAGTATCCAGAGAGTCTCAGAGTGAATGAGAACAAGCACAGTGATTGGAGATGGAGCCTGGTCCAGCCCATGAGCTGGGTGTGTCTCTCTGAGCACACAGTGTCCTTGCTGTAGTGTAGTAGTGAGAGTTAATCGAGCAGCCTGAGGTACAGTACAGCACTTAAGGGCAGAAGTATCCTGCAAGTGGATCAGAGAGGTGCCATGAGGGTTTGTAAAGACTAGTAGTGTCAGATGCCAATGTCCGTGGATGTGGGTACATGTGCCTGCTGCCCATGGAGTGTGCCCCGAGCTGTTGGTGCCAGCTGTATGACACAGCTGAAGCTGCCAGGTGGATGCTTTGATGTCCACTCCGAGGATTCTCGACACCTAACGCGTTTGACACATTCGGCAAGCTAGGAAGCTGCGTATTAATGAGGCGAGAGATAGTAGGAACTGCAGATGCTGGAGAATCTGAGACAACAAGGTGTAGAGCTGGATGAACACTGCAGGCCAAGCAGCATCAGAGGAGCAGGAAGGCTGACGTTTCGGGCCTAGACCCTTCTTCAGAAAAAAAAAGGCCCAAAATGTCAGCCTTCCTGCTCCTCTGATGCTGCTTGGCCTGCTGTGTTCATCCAGCTCTACACCTTGCT